AGATGAATACAGCCAGGCAGCAGGAAATTCTTAAGATGAATCTGAGCCTTCCACTGGGATAATGAGGAGAAATCAGGCTGTGCTACAGGGTACAGCCACCAACACACAACGGAAAGGGTTTGTTAGCCTAACCGGAAGAAATACACTTGTTAAATGGGCTACGTTACGCTTTGAAAGTTTTTCTAAACCACACAAGGGGACAAAGGTGTTTATCTGTTGCGCAATTTTGAGAGTGAAAAACTAAGACCATGGTGCCATCAGACTAGAGAGCTTTTTGATTCTTCAGTGATGTCTGGAGAGGGGAAGAGGGATAAAGAGAAACCTGCTGTGTCAAACTTACACAAACTTATAATGCTGGAGAATGTAATGTGATGATGACGCACATTATGTACATATAAAACTATGTTTCAGTTATTTGATATAAATGTCAGCTATGAAACTTTTATTAAAATGTTAAAGCAGCACTAAAAAAAATACTTGTTTCAAAAAACTGAATTTGCTAACAGAAATTTCACAGAACTGGTGCTACACATCTAACAATTGTATCATGATTTTTGTTTGTTTGTTTTGTTTTGCAAAAATCAGAGTATGTAACCTTTTACACAAAAATGAATCAAAATGACAATAGAAAGTATTTTTTTTATTTCTTTTTTTTTTTCTGAGAAACATGTGTCCTTCCTCTGAGTGGGCTTGCATCTCCACTAACCTGACTCTTATTTTGCCTGGAGGGCCTTCTCCTGTTTGTTTCCATGGAAGTGTTGTTCCTTTGTTTATAATCTTCCACAGTATGGCAAAAATCAATCCTATCCCCATGGCAAATGTTCCAGTTTTGGATTAGTTTTAATATTTTATTTCCATGCAGATGATGTGCCACCTCCAAAAAGTTACACACTGTACCTTTTTATTCACGCTATTTCACAAAGTTAGAAATAGTGAAATACCTATCTCAAGGTGACCAAAAGCATGTTTAATGGGTATTGAAGCCACAAGAACGCAATAATACGTGTTCTTTAAAGTGCAGCAAACCTCCACATACAGCAAGAGATAATTACAGATTCTTTTGCACAATGGTAATGAGCTCACAAACACATTCACATTGATATGCTGTTGCCAGGGAAGGGAGAGGGATTTCATGGCCCTGGGCAGATTGTGTAAACAGAATTGCAGACAATGACAAATTTGATTAATTAAACTGTGCCACTATTTTGCTTCAGTGACAGGCCTGATGTGCTTGAGTGTCAGACTTGCAGAGCTCAGCAGTCAGGTGTTCTTTGTTATCCTTTAATGTGCAGACATTTGTAATTCACTTCATAAATCCTTCCTTACCCGTCATCCACAAATCTGACTCTTATGCAGCAGAACCATCGACCTCCTCAGCCTCCATCTTCCTCTTCACTAACTGATAGTTTTCAGCAGTCGTCAACATTCCCCGGGGTTTGATGCTAACTGAACACACTCCTCTGTTTGAAGCTTTCTCAAGTTAGACTTAATGAGTTTTATTTTAACACAGTTTGACCAGAAAGAGATGACTTGGTTGGAACTAGAGCAGGTGAGATGATTTGTGCGCTCAAAAAAGTCTCTCACACGTAACATTACAGACACAAGCTAGCTAGCATTAGTTAACTTTTTTTTTCATTACTCTCTCTCAGCTTTTTGTTCAAAATCAAACTCCTAAACAAGACCACGAACGCTCGTATTGATCACAGGCTTCTGAAAAGGTGTTGTTTAAATCCATTTTGTATTTTTTCTTGAGTTTTTCTTGAGATCTTAAAACTTTTATGTCTGTGTTTGTTGTTTGTGTGTGTGTGCATTGTGTCACCATGGTAAACTACTGAACATTCTGCCAATAGAAATACATGCAGAACACCCCCAGTGTGATGTCACTGCAAAGAATCAGTAGAAAGCCCCAGAAACATATCCACATTGGATTATTGTATTCATATTCATTGGTTTCTGGCAAAAGATTTCTTCCTTGCAACAGTCCTCCTTTGTTACAGTAAAGGAATTCAAATTTAAAAAATCTAAATATGATGTCTCCTCACAAAATACTTCAAATCAGGAATCATTTGCCTGAAACTCATAGATGCAGTTTGAAAAGTCTTTAGATAGTTTTTAGATTAGTATTTGTAGTTAGGTGATCAAATGTCACTTGTCCTGTTGATGTTTTTTTCTCTGCCATGTTCCATGGGATGGCATTAAATTCTATCTTGCAACAGAACAAACCTTGAAAAACCTGAATTTATAAGCCACCTGTGACGCACCTCTCCCCAGATCTTGGCCTAGTGGCGTCACCTGTAGATTTTCGGTGGAGATAGATATGTTTAATGGCATGCTGTGAATGTTCCAGGCAAAGCAATAACATTTCCATGGTGACAAGCATCCAACAGAAAAGTTTCACAAAGAATCCAACGAAAAGTTAGACAGAGATTGCAGCTGTGCTTGGATGAAGACTGATGTAACCAAACCATGAGAAGATGATTTGAAAATGTATTCCAATGTTTAGAGAAAATGATGGTACATACTGCAACCGTCACACATGTGTTGGTTGTGTTCTATAAAATTTAGTGCTGATTTTTTAATGGACCTGGGAGACTGGAGTTCAGCAGAGCACACACTGAACCTCTTATTTGAGTACTTTACATAAAAACCCCATTCTGAAATATTGATGCTGTGTTATTTTTATAATGTATATAATAAAAAAAATATATATAATAAAAATACTGTTGTTATTGACTAGACAAAACTGGTTCGGCATTTTGAAACATGACTTGTTTTCAGTAGAAAAAACATGATTATTTTATTTGGCATTTTAGTTCAGGTTCATGTGCTTGTTTTTATGAGAAATATTGCTCATACTAGCACAAGCTGTTCTTTTCATAAATAATGTTGTTGTGAGTATATTTTTATTAATTAAAAAGAAGAGAATTCGACCTGCTGAACTTGCAATATAATTTGAAATTAAATACAACACCTAGATTTTTATCTTCCTTCTCAAGCCAGATCCTGTTTGGGAAATTTGTTCACCTACAACAGTGGCAAAAAACTTTTTTCTGATTCTGATGATCATTTTCCAAGACACATCAAAGTAAACCTTGTTAGTTTTTAGCAAGTTTTAGTTGGTCAAGAGGTCCATATAATTCTAGTGTTGTAAAAAAAAAAAAAAGCAAAAACAAAAACAAAACTTTGCAAATAAATTCTGTGTGTTGAGAGCATGACTCATAATTGTGGGGGGTTTGGAGAGTATCTTTACCACTTCTCAGAACTGAACAACTCATTATGGAGCTTGTGCCTAGTCGAATTCTTTGATGGAATTATTTAGTTTTTTTCTCAAACGAGTTTAGAAGCTGCCATTTTCTTTTGTCACACTGCTCTTTCTTGATGGAGTTATTTCATTACTATTCTAACAAACTGCTCATCTCATGTCTTTTTTATACAAAGTTAAACTGTTGTTACAAACATACAATTTGAAATTCTTTCACGTGATATGGACCAATCAGATCACTCAGTTAACAAACTAACAATGTCAACATTTGTTACAGATTAAAACAGACAATATTCTGTTATGTATCATATCAGAGACTTTGTATAACTTTTACTTATCATTAGTCTAATTCAGTGTAAACTCTATGAGTTCAGAACTCCCCATTTGCCTGGAATAGGTTTAGGAAAAGGAAATAGGTTTTTATCAGCAAAAAATGGTCTCAATGACAATTCAGAGAACCATGTTACCACACAGATTTGTTATTTTCTGTCTTACATTGTGGGATAACAACTTACTACTTTATTTGGCTTCAGATCAAGTTTAATATTTAATGTGGCAGTGAAACTCAGACGCCACGAGACAAACACTCCCTCTTTTCTCACACACGAGTAGAAGTGTCAGTTATATACGCAGCTCCTCACTCATATGGTAGGTTTATTTCATTCTATTCACCAGCATCTATTTCAGTCTCAGTCTTTTAGCTGATATTATTGCATTGGATTTTATGTCATAGCCTATTATACTGATGATATTGATATGATATTTTGTGACAGAGACCCATGATTTACCTGATGGGCGGTAGTGGATCTCTAATGTCTCAGAGAGTAAAACTGTCTTTTTGAAACTGTAGTTCTAACTCACAAACTGCTCCTCAGGTGGTGGGGGCATTCTGGGACCTTTATATCTCACCTCGGGAGCTTTTTTAAATTGAGTTACAATTGAAATACACAAACAAACAACATAATACACAAACAAGCACAGAATATGAGAGCCACTAAATAAAGAGGGGAGAACAAATTACAGTATTATTATTTACAGTTGCTATATTTCAATCAAGTATAAGGATTTATGATTTATAATAACATATAGAAGAAGGGCTGAGATTTCTGCATTTTCAGTTTTGGGAGGTTTTGTGATTAAAATGCCAAAAACAGGTCTAAGCAAAGTTTGGAGAGAAATGTTACCAAATGTTACCAAAGCCTTAGGACGCCAGTATGAAGGTACAATTGTTCCAAAATGCTTGAATGTGCAAGTTGAATGTGTAGTTATACAATACAATAAATACTGTAGCTTTTGAGAGAAACCTGCACTGCTATTACTTGTAGCAACTAGTTGAGTTTCACTGTGTGTGTGTAGGATTGTTTGGAGCCATTGCCACCGCAATCCTGATCCCTTCTGGATATGTTCAGATTAAAATCAGCTGTTGCGCTTATAAATGGTTTTGAGACAAACTCAGCACAAAAAATGTCTCAAAACTCATGAAAGGATAATTTTTAGATTTGTAATTGTAATAGTATTAAGTTGGACCTGCAACACTAAATTTGTAAAAGCAAAAAAAAAAAAAAGCAAAAAAAAAAAAAAAAAAAAAAAAAAAAAAATATAATATATATATATATATATATATATATATATATATATATATATATATATATATATATATATATATATATATATTCATTTTTATCCTTTCTTTTATTTATTTATTTATTTTTTGGAAAAAGCTATCTTGTGTCAACATTATATAATCTGGAGACATGCAATGACCATGACCATGTATTGTCTCAGTTTTGCATCTTCTATATGAATCTTTGTGGCTTACTAACCATTAGTAACACATTATTAACAATGGTGTTGTTGTTTAAGTAACACTAAACTGCACTGAACACTGCACTGGGTTTGTTGGGTGCCGTAGGTGAGAACGGGGCGAAATAATTTCAGTTGCTTTTTTTTGCTGTTGCTTGCAGTTTTACTTTTAAGGAGTAGACTAGTCTATAAGTCAGGATCCAAGTGTACATACATGCAAAACATTGACCAGTGTAAGGCGTAGTTCTTCTCATCATACAATACAAAATAGTATAATTTCCCCCTCCTTGCATGAACATGTTGAGTGACATTTTATATGTGTGGTTAGCACTTTTTTCCCCAAAATAATTTAGTTTTAGTTGGATTCCCAGGTCCCGTTGGGGCTTTTTCATGATTCTTGTCTCTGGGTAAGTTTCAAACAAACTTGTGCTGAAGTATGCATGCGCCTATTGACACTGTTTACTTAATTCTTTTTCCTCTCTCTCTTTGGGAGAGTTGCTGTTATTCTGTGTTATCACATGATAAACAAAGTATTCCCATTCTCCAACCATTCACCTGCCTCTGCATTTTTGTCCACATGATCCCCCAGGATTTGACCCCAAAGAGGCTGTGTCTTGTCAACAGAAGACTCACAGCTCTGCAGCAGACCCCTGCTCCTGACAGATCGCTCCAGTGGCATTGATGGATTGTCCACATGAACACATTTCAGGAACATTACAATAAAGAATAACAGTTACCGTTTTAAATAACATGCTAAGTGACAGCAGGGTTTCCATTACTTCATGTGACTGAATCATTTACCAATCAAACAAAATGTTAAGCAGTGTCCATATCTGTCCCCACAGTGAAGATGACATTTAACTGGCCAGGAGTCCTTTCCATTGGAGTGTTTTACATTGCTGTTCTTGGCATTGGAATCTGGGCCTCCAAAAAGTCTAGAAAAGAAGAGAGAAAATGCAAAGGGAGACTAAGTGAAATTGCTCTGGTTGGAGGAAGAAACCTAAACATCCTAGTCAGCATCTTCACCATGACAGGTTGGGTTTAGTTTAATTACATAAAAACTAGACAAAATAAACAAAATCTTGTTTGTTTGAAGGTACTTGGGTTGGAGGAGCCTACATTTTGGGCACTGCTCAGATGGTTTATGACAGTAAAAAAGGACTGTTGTGGGCGCTTGGACTTATTGCCTATCCACTAAATCTAATTGCAGGTTATAACATGCTGGTTTATATTGTTCTTTTTTATATTTTAATGTACCCTGATGATATGGTTTCAAATTGAAATATATTTAATCCGACTCCAGGTGGATTGTTCTTTGTAACTCCAATTAGATCAAAGAACTATGTGACTCTGATGGATCCATTTCAGGAGAAATATGGAAACACCATAGCCGCTGTGCTGTTTATACCTGTTATATTATCAGATCTATTTTGGATTGCGGGTATTCTGGCTGGTTTGGGTAAGTTCTATTTAATTATATGCTCAGGTTTTGACTATACAATAAACATGTGCATGTGTTTCTATAGGCGGGACATTGAGTGTGGCGACTGGGATCCCCTCCTGGGTGGCTGTGGGGGTGTCTGCTGCTGTAGCCATAATCTACACTATGATGGGGGGCCTGTATTCAGTGGCCTACACTGACGTCATACAGTTTATCCTCATGTTTGTTGGACTGGTATGATTTCACAAAGAAAGTCATGATTTTATTAAATAACTATAATACATATGTCCTGACCTCATGTTCCAGTGGATGTGTGTCCCCTTCATCATGATGAGCCCCTACGCTGCCAACGTCACAGTTTCTGCTGTGAACGAAATGTACCAGAGTCCCTGGCTTGGCAAAATTAGCCAGGAGGATATAGGCCTCTGGGTAGATGAGCTGCTTCTACTGGTAATATCCTAGTGTAATGTAGTCTCATGTATACACTATTCATATTTAACTGCCAAAAATCTCTTTATTGAGTAACTGCATGTGTATTTTTCTCTTTCTTCCTGTTTTTTGGCATGTTTCCACTCTTTAACACCTTAATCAAAAATCACACTTAATGCAATCTTCACAATAGATATATGTTCTCTTTAGTGCTATTACTTTTTTTTACATATGTCACAATTTTTTTTTTGTTTAACTAGTTCATTAAAACTGAATACATTTCTTCATTGACTTCAATTGTAAAGGGCTTCCTGTACTGGATATCACATAGATAATCATGAGATGGAGCCAAAGAGTCTCTTACTCTTATTTATTTATTTTTATTTATTTATTTTCTTAATTTTATTTATTTATTTATTTTTTTACCCATTTTTAATCTAAAACCTTTTCAAGAATTTCACTGTAATTGATATATTAGCACTTCAAGTCTTTAACTCCATTAGTCATTCACTGTTTAACCTTTTTAATTGTTGCTACCTTAACACCTCATACTTTAATACAGACTTTTGTCTCAGTCACAACTGACACTGGTTTAAGTGACTGTATGAGCAAATGTCACCAAACTCCATAAGTCAGTAAGTAATTGGCTACTTTTTCACATTTTCTAGTTTTACTGCTACTATTTATCTGACTATGGCATCAGTTATAACCTACACATTTTTGAAAGATTATGCAAAACACTATCTTGCTTTACATCTTCTTCTCAAAGCTTGATCTTGTCAGATCTCAGAACTTAAGCAAGGCTGGGCCTGGTTAGTACATGGAATGGGAAACCATTGGGATTGGGTGCCAAAGTGGGGCACCAGTTGCAAAAAAAAAAAAAACATGAAATGACTTGAACCGGGCCTGTTGTGGAATAATATTATTTTTACCCCAGAGCATAGGAGGGATTTGTTACCAGGCTTTCTACCAGAGAGTTCTCTCCGCTGCCTCTGATGCTCAGGCTAAACTCACTTGTTTTGTGGGAGCAGTGTTGTGCCCAATTCTGGGAATCCCATCTGTCCTGGTTGGAGCTGTGGCTGCATCCACAGGTGGGACAAATACAAATTTGTTAGTAGTTCAGAATTAAGACATAATCATTAATAGAACAACAAACTTTATTCTAAATTGTTTCTCAGACTGGAACCACACTTCTTTTGGGGGACCCAGTCCTTATGAACAGGGCTTGGCTGGCCTCATCTTACCCATAGCTCTACAGCATCTGTGTCCTTTCTTTGTCTCTCTGGTTGGTATGGGCGCACTAGCTGCTGCAGTCATGTCCTCAGTGGATTCTGTTCTTCTGTCAGCTGCCTCCCAAATCGCCAGAAATATTTACAAGAACATAGTTTATAAAAAGGTAGGCTAAAATTCAAACAAGTATTCCTTAAAATATTTTACTATGCCAATACTTCTGTTTTGTTTTTCAGGCCTCAGAGAGAAGCATAGTGGTGGTGATCAGAGTGTCTATTGTTCTGTGTGGCCTGGTGGGGGCGTTACTAGGCACAACAACCACTTCTGTGTTTCTGTTTTGGATGGTCAGTTCAGATATCCTATACTCAGTAATGACGCCCCAGGTCATTTGCACTCTCCTCCTGCCCCGCTGGGTGAATCACTACGGGGCCTGCTCTGGTTTTGTGTTGGGACTCCTCCTGCGAGGTCTGGTTGGGGAGCCTCTGCTGGGTCTGCCCTCTGTGCTCCCTCTGCCCTGGGACAAGATACTGGAGGATGGGGAAAGACAGCATGTGGTTCCTTTCCGCACCGTTTTAGTGATTATTAATTTTGCTATTATTTTACTCGTATCACAAATAATGTTGAAGGTAAAAGGAGGTGTATCAAGACAAGAACGCACCCAATCGCTTGAAATTCAAAGTTTAAACACATGATCGGGTTAGTGTTCACTAATCAAGTGCTGCAAACTCACTGCTTATTTGTAATAGTGTAAAAATGCTAAAGTGTATCCTGTGCTTACATTTAATTTTGTTTTTGTATAAATAAAAAATACAAAACCATCTCTCTAAAAAAAAGACAAAATTCTTCTTCTTCTTCTTCTTCTTCTTCTTCTTCTTCTTCTTCTTCTTATTATTATTATTATTATTATTATTATTATTATTATCCATCCATTTTCTTCCTCTTATCTGGGGCTGGGTCGCAGGGGCAGCAGTCTAAGCAGGGACTCCCAGACTTCCTTCACCCCATACACGTCCTCCAGCTCCTCTAGGGGAACCCCAAGGCGTTCCCAGGCCAGCCGAGAGACATAGTCCCTCCAGTGTGTCCTGGGTCTTCCCTGTGGCCTCCTCCCGGTGGGACATGCCCGGAACACCTCCCGAGGGAGACGCCCAGGAGGCATCCGGAACAGATGCCACCTCAACTGGCTCCTCTCGACATGGAGGAACAGCGGCTCTACTCCGAGCTCCTCCCGTGTGACTGAGCTCCTCACCCTATCTCTAAGGGAGCGCCCAGCCACCCTGTGGAGGAAACTCATTGCCATTTTCTTTTGTCCCGGTGCTCTTTCTTTATGGAGTTATTTCATGTGTTTTGTTCTTCACTATTTCTAAGAAACTGCTCATCTCATGTCTTTTATGCAAGTCAAACTATTCTTACACCTGTACAGTTTATAACAACACACTCTGGATTGTCAACTTTGAGTCACAATTTCTCCTCCATGACATAAGCAAATGGTAAATCTTCAGACAGATGTTACATAGTGCACCTTTTTTTAAAAGGTATATTTAGTATTTAACAATAACAATGTAGATCTTGATGCTATTGTTTGTTCATAGTAAACTGCAACATTTCCAAAAGAAGTCATCCCATTTGAGAGCACATTATTTCATGTGATATGGACCAATCAGATCACTCAGTTAACAAACTAACAATGTAAACATTTGTTACAGATTAAAACAGACAATATTCTGTTATGTATCATATCAGAGACTTTGTATAACTTTTACTTATCATTAGTCTAATTCAGTGGAAACTCTTTGAGTTCAGAACTCCCCATTGCCTGGAATAGGTTTAGGAAAAAGAAATAGATTTTTATCAGCAAAAAATTGTCTATAATGACAAGTCAGCGAACCATGTTACCACACACATTTGTTGTTTTACATTGTGTGATAACAATTTACTACTTTATTTGGCTTCAGATCAAGTTTAATGTGGCAGTTAAACTTAAATCCCACAACACCTACACTCCCTCTTTTCCCACACGACTGAAAGTGTCAGGTATTTGTGCTCCTCCTCACTCGTACGGTATGTTTATTTCATTTGATTCAGCAGCAGCAGCAGGATTTGTTGCCTATCCACTAAATCTAATTACAGGTTAAAACATGCCCACATCCCCCTTCACTCTCTCTCCACTGAACACTCTCACTCACACACATAAATCTGTCAAAAAACAAACCATTATCAAGCTAATGGTATTGCAGTTTTCAAACACACTAAAACGTGTGTGTGAACAAAAACAAAACATGACAAACACTGTGCTTACAATCTGTTTTCTTCTGTGTGCCCAATTTTACACAGTTCCATGCTTTTTGGGAACATATCATTGACATTAATTCATTTCCTGGAGACCAGTCCTAACCTCGAAGGGTTTGTATCAGATTTTATTTTTCCACTTACTTAAGCAAATTTGTCTTGTCCCAGATATACTGTATATGCAGTTCTTGAAGTCAAAATAAGTCAGCAGTGTACTGTCTGCACGTAATTCTGTATAGCGTTTTATTATCTGATCAACACTCAATCAGTGCTCATAAACATATGGTGAATAATCAGGATATCCAGATGCATAAAGTAAGTGAATAACAACACTGCAAATAATTTCAAATGATTTTTCACATTTTTAAGACTTGCCCAACTGTGACCTAAAAGCCAAACCTAACCCATACCTTAACTTTAAACCATATTCTTGATTTGACTGAATAGTAATTTATGTCATATTATTATTATTATTATTATTATTATTATTATTATTATTATTATTATTATTATTATTATCCATCCATTTTCTTCCTCTTATCTGGGGCTGGGTCGCGGGGGCAGCAGTCTAAGCAGGGACTCCCAGACTTCCTTCACCCCATACACGTCCTCCAGCTCCTCTAGGGGAACCCCAAGGCGTTCCCAGGCCAGCCGAGAGACATAGTCCCTCCAGTGTGTCCTGGGTCTTCCCTGTGGCCTCCTCCCGGTGGGACATGCCCGGAACACCTCCCGAGGGAGACGCCCAGGAGGCATCCGGAACAGATGCCACCTCAACTGGCTCCTCTCGACATGGAGGAACAGCAGCTCTACTCCGAGCTCCTCCCGTGTGACTGAGCTCCTCACCCTATCTCTAAGGGAGCGCCCAGCCACCCTGTGGAGGAAACTCATTTCGAGGGCTTGTATCCACGATCTCGTCCTTTAGGTCATTACCCAGAGCTCATGACCATAAGTGAGAATAGGAATATAGACTGACCGGTCAATCGAGAGCTTCGCCTTTCGACTCAACTCCGCTCCGCTCCGTTCACGAGTGAGGGGAAGACAGAGCGTATTATTATTATTATTATTATTATTATTATTATTATTATTATTATTATTATTATTATTATTATTTATTTATTTATTTTTTATTTTTTACAAAGTATGCAAGAATTCCTAAATAGTCAAACAAAGCATCTTGTCATTGGTTACACTACACAATATTTAGTACAGTAAACCTAACAGTAGTTTGTTTTAAGGATTGTTTAACTGCTTTACACCCTCTGGACATGCTTATAAATTAGGACTGAATTACTGTCAGATGTTTTTTATAAATACATTTTCATAGTCATTAAAGATGTAATTCTAAATAAAATACCTGAATAATGCTTAATATATAAAGCTGAATATTATCCCATATAGATCCTGTAGTAAGTAATGCACTCTACTGTCTGAATATGCAATTGGATCCTGCTGTTTCTCAGATTTACACCTCTGTGTAAGCCAGAGGCTGTTGGCTGTTCACCAAAACTACTTGTTTCAGTTACTTCCTCCCCAAAAGCAACAACACAGCTTTTTCCTGATCCTGACGATCATTTTCCAAGACACATCAAAGTAATCCTTGTTAATTTTTTAGCAAGTTTTAGTTAGTCAAGAGGTCCATAATAATTCTTGTAAAAAAAAAAAAAAAAAAAAAAAAAAAAAAAAAAACATTGTGCAAATACAGTCTATGTGTTGAGAGCATGACTCATAATTGTGGGGGGTTTGGAGAGTATCTTTACCACTTCTCAGAACTGAACAACTCATTATGGAGTTTGTGCCTAGTCGACTTCTTTGATGTAATTATTTAATCTTTTCGCAAATGCTCAGAGTTTAGAAGCTGCCATTTTCTTTTGTCCCGGTGCTCTTTCTTTATGGAGTTATTTCATGTGTTTTGTTCTTCACTATTTCTAAGAAACTGCTCATCTCATGTCTTTTATGCAAGTCAAACTATTCTTACACCTGTACAGTTTATAACAACACACTCTGGATTGTCAACTTTGAGTCACAATTTCTCCTCCATGACATAAGCAAATGGTAAATCTTCAGACAGATGTTACATAGTGCACCTTTTTTTAAAAGGTATATTTAGTATTTAACAATAACAATGTAGATCTTGATGCTATTGTTTGTTCATAGTAAACTGCAACATTTCCAAAAGAAGTCATCCCATTTGAGAGCACATTATTTCATGTGATATGGACCAATCAGATCACTCAGTTAACAAACTAACAATGTAAACATTTGTTACAGATTAAAACAGACAATATTCTGTTATGTATCATATCAGAGACTTTGTATAACTTTTACTTATCATTAGTCTAATTCAGTGGAAACTCTTTGAGTTCAGAACTCCCCATTGCCTGGAATAGGTTTAGGAAAAAGAAATAGATTTTTATCAGCAAAAAATTGTCTATAATGACAAGTCAGCGAACCATGTTACCACACACATTTGTTGTTTTACATTGTGTGATAACAATTTACTACTTTATTTGGCTTCAGATCAAGTTTAATGTGGCAGTTAAACTTAAATGCTACAACACCTACACTCCCTCTTTTCCCACACGACTGAAAGTGTCAGGTATTTGTGCTCCTCCTCACTCGTACGGTATGTTTATTTCATTTGATTCAGCAGCAGCAGGATTTGTTGCCTATCCACTAAATCTAATTACAGGTTAAAACATGCCCGCATCCCCCTTCACTCTCTCTCCACTGAACACTCTCACTCACACACATAAATCTGTCAAAGAACAAACCATTATCAAGCTAAATATGGTATTGCAGTATGGTATTGCAGCCCATGCTCCTTGTTGCAGTGGTATCTTTTTTTACACACACTTATATTCCTCATAGAATTTAGAATCAACATTTGACCACAGGACTCTATATCTTTATCTAATTTTATAACATTGTATTGATCGCAAACCCAGAAGAAAAAAGCCAAAAACTTATTTTGCAATGTTCTGTTTAGTTTTCTTGGAATTCAGAATACACACTTCTTCACCTGTGAAATTCAAATGAGCATGATTCACAGGTGGATTAGCCAATCAGGGACACACATGGCCAATCTGTGAAAAAAATAAGGAAAATAATATCACAGGGGACTGAAAAACTTTGCAGATTTCTGCTGATTTTATGAGCGAAGCACTAAACTCTGTTAATCTGAGGTGAGATATATTAATTATTATTTTGAAATGATTTATGACCAATGAGGTCCTTCGTTTCACGTGTCACTGAAAAGAAAAAACAAATCTGATTACACGATCACATTTGATAATTCGGCTCAAAGTGTGGCGGAGGGCATTTGGACCAGACTGATATCAATCTGTATAAAAAAACACTGAGATGTTATTGTGGATTTATCAAGCAAATGTTTCAGGATAAGTTTTGGATGTAGTGGGGCAGTAGTCCTCCTTCTAAGCCATCTGAAAATAAGTTTTTGTGTTTACTAGTCCCCAAGTGTGAGAGCTAAGAGCCAGTTAAAATCGTCTCCTTTCACAGTTTGAGAA